AAGGTTGCCTTTTAAGAATTACCTATTGTTGAAAAACATCCTACAGAGCCCTTTTGTAATGAGTACTTAATTACCTAATCAGAGCTGTGTTTCACCTTAACATTAGTGCTGTATAGGATTTTGTGCAATCCTGATGTTCATCTTATTTATTGAGGACTGGATATTGGTGTGGACACTGATGGTTATCTCTGTTATCAAGCAATCTAGAAGCTCTGACCTAGAGGGAGCTTTTACATATTGGCCAGTCAGTCCTGCCTATTATATTAGCTCTAAGAGAAGACAGACGATGTACGTTCATCCAAAACTAATTACAACAGGAATAGGTAGGGATAAAATATATATCTGCTGAATGAGGGAATATAAGGAGTCTACCTATTGAATACACGAGATCATCAAGGATGAACTCTTTTAAATTAGGGGTGAGAGATGACACCATTTCTACTTGATAGTAGTGCTACTCTGTTCCTATCTTTCTGAGAGTGGCTTCTATTGCTGATTTTGGAATGTCAGTATCATGGTATAAAAGGTCACTGTGTTTAAATGCAGAGAGACACTTAGTTTATATAAACACCTTTTAAAACTTTATGTTGGTCTGACTTACCTTATCACCTATACGTATGACTTATCAAACAAAAGAAGAACCCACCTGTCCCCAGAAACATTGCCTTTCCAAGGCTGCTTGTACAAACCAGAATTTATTTATTTATTTTTAGTATTTTCACTGTTGGGGTGGACTTCCTTATTGGCTCACCCTTCGGCCCTCTACTTGGCTTCTTTTCTATGTAGTTTTCCAGACCCCCTCAACACACCTCTTGCTCCACAAAGGGTTGCATCAAGAGCTCAAAAAATAACTCTCCTGGAATTCAATGCCCATATTTGTTTTTACTTACAGCTATTTTGCAAATTGTATTCTTCTCTCGTTATGCTGAAGGTGTGGATCATATGTGGTCTTACTTGCTTTTGTTATCGTTCTGGATAGTTTCTAGAGGATGTGTAAAGAGATTTGGATTTTGGTGACTTTCATTATCCTTAGAATACTAGGTTCCCATTTTTTTCCCCCTTGGCCAACCAATTTTAGAAACACTCCATGGCACAAGAGATTGAGTAAGGGACGGCACCATAGCAAGAAGAATACTTTAGACTGTTGTACACCATTTCTGCTTGACAACAGTGCTACTGGACAAGTTCAGCTTTATGAATTTGGTGACCAAGTAATAACGCAGTTCATAATAGTCAGTCTCTAACAGCTAAGAGCTGTTTCTCAGAAAGGCAGATTGTTTCAGAGAACCTGGCTTTGTTCCAAATCTTAGGGTCTTCTTCAGTATGTTTTTCCTATCAGAGATTATAAATGCTTCAGAGTGACATATTTCAAGTACACTGGACCCACTGAGTCAAAAGCAGTGATGTGCACAGCTGCTTGTATTGTTGCATTGCGTTTACCACCTGGGTGTATTTTACCCTGGATCCCTACTCAAAACCCAACTTCTGGTCAGTCAGTGATCAGTGATCACTGTAGCTTTTCCTAATGTACTTGTGTTCAGACTATGGTTCACTAGAGATCTTCATTTTGTTTCTGAAAAGTTATATGTCTTTTTACTTTAAAAAATATAGTTGATAGATTAGACACACATAGATGATAATCACACTGTGTCTGGAGTTAAAGGGAATTTTTAAAGTGTGATCTTATCTGCTTTCTCATAATCACTTTTTTGTATAGTCTTGCACTGGTTGGTGTGCAAATATAAGCACAAATGTCTTCTTCCTCTTATTCTGAAATATAGCATATGACACACATACTTCTGAACCTTGCTCTTTTTCACTTAACATTATCTCTTTCTATATAGGAAAAAAGAGTGTCTCTTTTTGTACTTCTTAATATGCACCAATAAATGTATTATTTTAATCAGTCTGCTATTGATGGGTATTTGGGCTATAAAAAAATGTTTCAATCAATCACCAAAATGTATCATTTTGCACACACATGCAAGTATATCCCAGAATTAGGATTGCAGGGTCAAAAGATTGAAGTATTTGTAATTTTTGACAATAGCTGCCAAATTGCTCTTTATATGAATTATACCAATTTATAATCCCAGCAGTAATATATGAGAATGCTTGTTTCTTTAAAATCTTACCAAAACTTTATCAAACCTTTGAATTTCTTCAAATCTGAACACTTAGTTTGCACTTCTGAGATAAGGCATCTTTTTACACATTTAAGGGGCCATCTGTTATCTGCCTATTTTATCCATTTTTCTCAAGTGGATGGTATTTCTTTTAAAGATTTTTATTTAAGAGACAGAGAGGGAGCGTTAAGTGGAGGGAGAGGGACAAGCAGACTCTGAGCACACAGCCCAACACGGGGCTAGACCCCACAACCTTGAGCTCATGACCTGAGCAGAAATCAAGAGTCAGATGCTTAACTGACTAAGCCACCTAGGCACCCCTTGAGTGGATGGTCTTTTATTGATATTTTAAAATATTAAGAGATTAGCCCTTTGTAAAAATAACTTGCAATTCTTGTTCAAGTTTATCATTTGTCTTCTGACATATGGTATTTTCTCGCCATGCACACTTTTCTTTTTAAATTGGACTTAACAACCCATAATGGCTAACAATCTATAATGGCTACAAGATTTTAAGTCATAGTTAGAGAACTCTTTCCCACTGTAACACTATAAAAGAATTAAACTAGAGAAATAAGGTTAAGCTTTCTGCATAGCCTTCTGATCTGTTTACAAGGGGTTTTATGCAAAATAGATCATCATGGGGACACCTGGGTGGCTCAGTTGGTTAAGCGTCTGCCTTGGGCTCAGGTCATGATCGCAGGGTCCTGGGATCGAGTCCCGCATCGTGCTCCATGCTCCGCGGGGAGCCTCCTTCTCCCTCTGCCTCTGCCTATCTGTCTCTCATGAATAAATAAAATCTTTAAAAAAAATAGGCCATCACTACATAATAGGACCTACTCCACATCTCAACCGTGGTCTCTCACACAAAGCTGCACAGAGAATTTGATAAAGGACTGCCTTAAGAATTGTTTCCCTGACCAATGAGCTGTATCAAACAGCTAAGAGGCTTATCCACAATAGTTTTGTGACGAACTGAGTAGGGAAGCCCTTATTTGAATCAAAGGCCTTATACAGCCTGTAAGAACTAAAGCATCAAGTAATTACCACCTATGTTCACAAGCCAAATGAAATTTCATGTGCAGTATGAACAAAATTGCTATTTATAATATATAAAGGGACAGTGTTTGACACGAATATACTGATTTCTAGATTTCTGCTTGAAGGGAGAAGAGATGAAACACTGGTACAAATAAATGAATAGTGTATGATTTATATAGTTATATCCAAATAACATCAGCTACCATTTGAGTGTCTCCTACTTGCCAGGTATTTTTAACATTATAAGATATATATCACCATTTTACAGATGGAAAAGTATGGCCCAGACAGATCAAAAACTGTCTTTAAGTTCAAAGAACTGTTACTTGGCAGAAGTGGTATCCAATATGATAGCCAAAGCTTAAATATTTTCCATCAGATTACTATGGATCTCCAAATACACTGTGTGGCTGGTAAGCTCTCTCAATTGTTTGTGGGTTTGTTTTTTAATGAAAAATGCTATGTGAGAACTTGTAATTATGATTATTTGGGCCATTACAAACATTCCTATGAAAAACTATATTAATGTGTTTTCTTTTGGTTTGGAATCTGAGTCACCTCCATATCCGAAGGGTATTAGCGCAGTAGCTAACTAAATAAACACTCTATGTATTTGCCAAAGGAGTGACATGAACCTGTAAATCATGGTAATTAAACTGCAAGACCTATACAATCTATGTCAGGAAAAAAAATTAATTTTGGTTAAGATAGTATCTATGCTCATTTAAATTAGAAAATCTAAGGCAGTAACCTGGAAAGTTAAGTACTGCATATGGTTATATGGAATGATCATTCTAGAGGGTGAAAATAAATGAGACTACAGTTGACCCTTGAACAACAAACACAGGGGCTGGGGGCACCAACTCCCCCCCCGCACCAACCCCCACATAGTCAAAAATCCACCTTAGACTCCCCCAAAACTGAACTACTAAGGGTCTGTTGATCTGAGGCCTTACCAGTGACATAAACAGTCTATTAACACATATTTTGTATGCTATATTATATACTGTATTCTTACAATAAAGCTAGAGAAAAGAATATGTTTATTAAGAAAATCATAAGGAAATTTTACACTACTGAACAGTATAAAAAAATCCTTGTATAAATGAATCCGTCCAGTTCAAACCTGTGTTGTTCAAGGGTCAACTGTAATTTACTCTCCATACAACTTCTGCTAGAAACTTAAGCTAGAAGAAATATTTGCAACGATTTCATATTCTACACAGGCAAATCCCATGTCCTATGCTGCTACATAATGAGTTAATCAACAAAGTTAACATCTGGTATCTAAGAGTGGAAAAATTTTTGTCCCTGATTATCAATTATGTAAACCATCATTAGAAATTCATCATAAATGTGCATTACCAAATCATTAAACAGTCAAAATGGCTGGATTCACTAAGTATTTATAAATAAAAGAAGGAAACTTCACTGGCTTCATCAACAAAAAGTATTTCTATTGGCTCCTGAAAAGGATTTTGGTTACTATATTTCACAAAACTAACAATTTTTGTCTGCAATATGCTTTGCTTTGGTCCCATGGACCATGACCAGAGGACCATGGCCCATGAAAAGGTCAAGGTGACTGTGAGATCTTTTTTGTGCATACTAATAAACGAAAACAAAACACATGCATATGAGAAGCATCACATATTTAATGTCAAAGAATTTGAATTCAAGTACAAAAATTAAACAACACATGATTTCAACATTAAAAAACCGGAACACTTACTATTTAAACAACTATACAGTGAATATCAAAAACACAAAAGAAGCATAACTATAAAAACCTGAAATGCATTAACAGCAAAATTAAAATTTATTTCTATAACAAATAATTAACTAAAATATTTAGAGTTATTTTCAAGGACCACAATGGTAGACTGTTTTTCCTTTAGTACTGCATAAAATCTGTATCTTAATCTTTTTGCCCTTCATTTCTTTCTACATAATAGATGCTTCTGGTTACATAACTGTTATAATCTCTAATACAGATAAGTGATCCTTGGTAATCAAATCTAGGATAACGATTGTCTGCAAGTGCTTAAATAATTTGTGAAATGCTATTTGGCAAAGTTATTATGCAAAAATTTAACATAAACTATTGGGTTCTACTGCCCACTCAGGAATTAGAAGTACTTAAAATCCCAAAAGTTTAAAAAGAAGAGTAGTTTGCTATACCTTTATCAAGAGAAACCACTGAATAACTTTTTAAACTTAGCATTTTTCCAAGTTCTACAACTGTAGGTTATTCTGAATTATGGTTGATGTTTACTATGTTGAAATAAATATATATTTATCATTTTAAAACCAAATGTGCAAACCCGATTCTAAAATAAAACGGTATTTTAATTGGCATGCTTTACAAAGAAACTTGCATACTCGTGTTTACAGTATCTTCTCAGAAGAATGAGGCCTGATTGGAGATATAGAGTCGCTGTCCGACATGGCTGCCACTAGCAAGTGATACCGTTGGTGACAAGGGACAGCCTGGACAAGAATGAGGCCTTGAAGTGTAAGGAAGCACGCTGGGAGTCCCAGAAGAGAGAGTAGCACTAACAGGGGAAAGACTATTTATTGAGCTGCGACGGAAACTGTAGTCTGTAAATAAATACATGAACAATTATGCTGCACATCTTTATAGAAACAAATTTAATTCAAAGAGACAAAGCATGAAAACTATAATCACAGTTTAACATAATGTTCTAACATTCAAAATCCTGCTAATACTATTTCGCTGGTAAAGACTGTTTCAACATTCACAGCCCTGCAAATCCTGATAGTTTTATCAGTCAGTCCTGTTCCTTTCACTGACACAACACTTCAGAGATCTTACTAGAATGCATTCTTGGGTATCTTTTACTTGCAAATCTCTTAATTGTTTTGTGTGGTTTTGATCACAGATAAAAGAGAACCTCTGATTTCTCTTGTCCCACAATGCAGCTCCTTTTAAATTTGGTTCTGATGCTAAGGGATAGTCCATGAAGAAAAGATAAAAAACAGCAAATTCATATTTGCTTAGTTTTTTTAAACTGTATTAGGCATCAAACCAGCAGAAACATCCTCCCTTGGACTGCAAAAACATTTGGTGTAAACTAACTGTCCAATATTTCATTATTTAAATACCAATTTAACATCTGTATAACTCAATACACCAATTTAACATTAGTGTTCCTACTTGTACCATAAAACAGTAAAATGAATCATGTTTATAAAGTAAACTTCAAGAAACCATTATCAACTTATAGGATAGAAAAATCCAAAAATTAAGACCAAATTATTTTTTAAAAACCAGTTATATTTGAAATATTACTATTTCACAATAAACATGCATCTTATGCACCAATAATTTCCTGCTTCATTAACTGTAATGTTTATATGTGTGTATGAATATTAAAGACCAAATTTGTAAATCCTGTACTTTCCAAAAACTCAACTATGTTCTTTAGGGTAGAATAAGCCAAGGGTCTAACAATGACTATAAAATGATTATTTATAAAAGTTATGGTGTTTCTAGGAATGGAAGAAAAGGAATTAGGTAATATAATGTACAAATCAAGTTTTTTCTATATTTTCCTGGTATTATAGATGAGGCCTAAAACATATGAGCATTAACTTAATGTTGTCATGGGACTTAATATTTAGCCAACAGGAATGAGATCAACTGCAGGAGAATAAGCTCAAGCAACATCAGTAAGGACCTAGTTAAGAAAAAAAATGGAAAAAATAAAAATCAGTTAAATATAGGTTTAATTTCTAGCACTGTAAAACTCTAACTTGATTCATTTTATAATCTTTTTATTTTTATTAATGGTACCATAAAATCAATAAAAGCAGTCTGTTCCAAGAAGACAAATACATTTAAGATATCCAGTTCAAAATATTTTCAGTATTTTGAAATTGGATAAGGAATTACTTTGATATCATTTGCTTTTCTAATATCCAAAGTAGGATAAGTAGATTATCACAGAATTGTTTTTCTTCTCTTAAAGGATCCACTATGCCTAAAGGGTATGGTATTTAGTATTAACAGAAACCTTAGTGCTCCTATAATTCAAATTAATTGCTTTAAAAAAAAGTTCTGATTCTCTCCTCCTAAAGAGTATTACACAAATACAGTCAATTCCTTATTAGACATGTATCTATGATACAACTAGCTCTTTCAATTTTTAACAATGTGGTCATAGACTATATGATTCAGAGGAGCAGATCTTTAGTTACACTTCTGTAGGTGGGGAAAATGTAGTTTTCAGAGAAATCGCTTTCACTTTGGGTTTATATCCATGCAACAGTTAATGCAGCCTATTCATTGAAATGTAGATAAAAGAGACATATATCTTCAGGGAATGATTTCACAAAGAAGAGAGCCAGACAATTGGCTACTGGCATAGTACTTAGGTCTGAAAATGGGCATTTTAAATAGTCTCCTACTGTAAACCTTTAATTTAAAAATACATTCATCAACTGTCGTCTTCTCACATTTCTAAGGAAACTAAATTAAAATACAAAATTTAAAGTTGACTTTGATGACCTCATTCATAAAGGCTAAATCAAGAGAAAAAAATTTCCCCCTAATACTAAAAAGATTAAGAAATGAAAAGCTTCAATGTTCATAAGATTTACAAGCATTTCTAAAATAAATTTTATTATAATGTAAGAATCTAAATATGTTCAGAAAAAATCTGGGTAATTAGAAAATATAATGCATATCAAACTTAAGATAGTAATTACTGGCATAAACCTAGATGAATCATGTTTTCCTTAGATCTAACATATATATCACAGAAAATAAAAATCAGAAAGCATCACTGATTTTTATGAAATAAATTAATAAGTGAGTCAGAATTCCTAGCATATACTTACTTGCCCACCCCTGGTTTTTCTTCCCAATGAATAACCTTAGCTCTTTAATCCCACTGTTTCTGTCTCAGACTTGGATCTGTCCTCCCCTTTCCCCTTCTTAAGGGAATGATAGAGCCAATTTCAGAATTTAAGTTTTACACTGGTAATTATTCAATTGTCTTAATACTTTTTAAACTGAGGTACAATTTACATACAGTGAAATGCCTATGTCCTATGTGTCCATTTCAATGAGTTCTAATAACTCTATAAACCTACGCAACCAACACCTAAAACAAGATAGAAAACATATCCATCAATCCAGAAGAAGTTCCTTGTGCTCCTTTCCAGTTAATAGCCCTTCTGTTGGAGGCAACCACTTTCTGATTTCTCACTATAGCTTAGATTTGTCTGTTCTGGGACTCCATATAAAATGAATTTTTTAAGAAATTTTAAGCCTAGCTTCTTTCTCTCAATATAATTTCTAAGACTCATTATGTTGTGTATGTCAGTTTACTCCTTTTAATTGTTCAGCAGTATTCTGTTGTATGTATACACTGTAACATTTTTTATCCATTTACCTGTTGACAGATAAATATGTGAGTTGTTTCTAATTTTTGACTATTATGAATAAAGCTGTTACAAACATTCTTATACAAGTCTTTTTTGTTTTGATATGTTTTCATTTCTTTTGGGTAAATAACTAGGAGTGAAACTGCTGGGTCATAGGGCAGACAGATACTGTTCCAACCGTTCCCCAGTGTGACCATCCTACATCCACACCAGTAAACTATGAGAGTTCTGGCTATTCCACATCCTCACCAACATTTGGTATTACCAGTGTTTTGAATCATACCTATTCCAGTGATGTGAAATGGTATCTCCTTTTGGTTTTAATTTGGATTTCTCTCATGACGAATAATGTGTTTAGTTGCCCATTTAAACATGTTCTTTAGTAAAGTATGTATTCAAGCCTTTTGCTCATTTTTATTGGTTTGACTTTTTATTGTTGATATTAATAAAATTTTTAACTAATCAAATTCTCTAATTCGAAATCATAAACCAGGGATAGGTTGGTCCTCAGAAGTCTCTAATTCCAAACACCTCTTTCACTGAAGAATGACACAGACAAAAGATGGTTGATTAAGTGACTGCTGGATACTCCCACAGTTAAATGAAGAAAAACGAATTAAAAATTAGGTCTCCTAATTCCTAGGAAAGTATTATTTCTACTTGACCAAGCTTTTGCACTCTGGCAATCTTCTCAAAACTGGGTTGGGGAAAGTGTCTCAAGAGGCTGATACAAACGGGGTAGAAATACAATAGATGGTGCTCCAAGCTATCTGGCTGCTGCTTGCAACTACCCACACCCACATGTCCCATTTTGACCCACACAGCTCTGCATTCCCGTTTTATACGCTAAATGTTATCTAAGAATGCCACTTGAAAAAAAGGCCCTTTTGCAAAAAAAAAAAAAAAAAAGAATACTAATAATAATAAAATGACTTGCTCTAATGTAATGATTAGAGATAGCATTTTGATCAAATCGTACAGAGTTTCATATTTATAACATGAATGAATACAAACATTTTCAAAGAATAACTTTGGTCTATACAGCAAATAGGCTTAACCTTAAGTGCCAATTCTCATCAAGCAGTAATGGCTCAAAGGACCCCAGATTCCCAAGGATTTGGAAGCTGTGGCTAGTACGAGCAGAGTAACTGTTGGGCCACTGACCTGGGAGCGAGGGCAGAGACTGGGCAGCACATTCACCACCTGTTTGTCAGTCCCACTTTTGTAAGTGATAATTTAATCTACTACCTTTTTCTGTCTGACACAAGAGACAAACACCACCAGGATGTTCCTCAGTGAACATCTAAGCAAGGGATGTACACTGCTTTACTCCATTTGTGTCTCATTTGTTTGTTTCTAATTCTCTTATACATCTTGGCCAAACGCCATGGATTCTCAAACTGCTTTTCTGCTTCATGTAAAGAGGGAGGAAGCCCTTAATGGAGACTTTAAATTGAGTTCAAAGTGTCTTCTTATGCTTATTTTGGCTATCTTTTTCTTCTGGTTTGTTTCTGACCGTACTCACTAATTTTCCATTAATAAGTACATTCCTCATAATTCTCCTTGGTAACTATTTTTTTTCTTCTCCTTAACTATTTCAGTTCTACCTTCACATCCACTCCCTCTTTTTGATGTACCGTTAAGTGTACAGTTCAGTGGTTTTTAATAGATTCACAAAGTTGTGCAACCAATACCACTATCCAGAACATTTTCATCACCCTAAACAGAAACTCGGTACCTATTAGCAGTCACTCCCCTCCCTCTCCCCCAGTTCCAGCAACCACTAATTTTTCTGATTCTATTGATTTGCCTGTTCTGGATTTTTGATATAAATGGAATCATACAATTTATTTCATCTTTTTTAACTAGCTCCTTAGCATTTGTTTTCAAGGTTTACCCATGTTGTAGTATATATCAGAACTTCATTCCTCTTTAGATCCCTTGTGTGAAAACACCACATTTTGTTTATACACTCATCAGTCAATGGACATTTAGGTTGTTTCTACCTGTTGGCTGTTATGAATAATGCTGCTAAGGAGTAATGTGTACAAAATTTCATGCGGACATATGCTTTCAATTCTTTGGAGTAAATAACTAGAAATCGACATGCTGGGTCATAAGATAGTTTTATGTTTAACTTTTTGAGGCGATATACTGTTTTCCAAGACAGTTATACTGTTTTCCCCTCC